TTGGAATTAAACTGTTTACAGGCACTGTTAAAAAGTACCTAACTTTGCCAGGAATGGTGTCGCAATCCTGTAATTCTAGCTACTTGGGAAGTAGAGATTCTGGGAATTGAAGTATGAGGGCAGCCCAGGCAAAAAGAAGTTTGCAAGATGCCATCTAAACCAATGTCCGGACAGGTAGTGCATGTCTTTTATCCCAGATACTTGGGACACACAAGGCTTGGGTACAGTGGCATGTAACTGTCACCCCCAGCAGCACAGGGAAACACATGTAGGAGAACCAAGACCCAGGCTAACATAAGTGAGACTGTATCTTTAAAAGTGTCTAGAAGTGTTGCTCAGGTGATAGAGTACGTACTTGGCTAGCAAGCAAATCTGAATCCAGTCTTTACTACTGGAAAAAAGGCTAACTTTTCCTTAGAGGAGTTAAAAGTTGTTCTTTTAGTAGAAATGTAATTGCCAAAGTTAAAGGATTTTCCAAAGTGGTAGAGCAACCAGTTTGTTGCATGTAGTAGGTAAAAGTTAGGGAGTGTGAACAGTAGTCCTTAATTTCATTTATTATGGACCTGGGGGAAGCCATCTAGCTTTCCTATATTATCCTTTCACTCCTATAAGAAGGTCTAGAATATATGTCTCTCATTGTTTATATAGGGGATGTTAATGATGTGAGCTTTAAGCTCTTTTGTAGAAACGGTCAATTAAAATCAAGGTCCTTAGCTATGATAAAAGTTACTGCTACTCTTACTTATAATATTATTTTCAGAGTTAGGATATGGAGGAAAATTCTAAATTTTTAATATAGTAAATGTTAAGTTAGCCTGCCTTCTTTAGTCTCAAAAACAAAACATTTTAGTTCAGAAAGTTATATGTAGAATTTTTTTTTTGTATGATTAAAAGTCCTGTGACTTTGGAACCCTTGAATCTTTTAGGAGTGAGTTGCTTTTTTTTCCTTGAGGGCTGTGACATAAGGCAAGACTCTTTCTTTCTTTCTTTCTTTTTTTCTATCTCCCTTCCTTCCTTCCTTGTTTGCTTTCTCTCTTTCTCTCTCTGTGTGTGAGAGAAAATACTGGTACTGAGACTTGGACTCAGGGTCTCACACTGTAGCCTGTTTTTTTTTCTCCTTCCCTGCTTGCATTCTACCACTTGAATAGCATACTCTAGGTCTAGTACAAGCTTCTGAACTCAAGCCATGGTGCTAGCCATGACTCTAATCCTTTTGCTTTATTTATTTTCTGAAAAATAAGTTTATTTCAGGCCCATGCAGACCTAGATTCTTCTATTTATGCTTTTGCATGGCTGGATGATGGGGTCTTGTGAATTGTTGTTCAGTCTGTCTTTGAATTGAATCATCTCAATCTCCATTTCCTAAGTAGCTGCAACTATATATGTGAGCCACTATGCCACACTATTTATTCCTGTAGAGCTTCAGGCTATAGCTCAATACCCTTCTTACTTTTCTGCTATTGATGTGTGAGTTTTTCTGAATTATAAGTTGTTTTTGCGTTTGCAAGTCAGAGCCTGGTGCAACAATTAATGCATAAAGGCCATTTTAAGTGCTTAAGCCACACAGAATATGAGGATGCACAGGTAGGAAATAAGGGTGATATTGATGGAAAGTTTTAACAGAATTAGTGAGAGGCAAGTCTGCAGACTGCACTGGAGCTTGCTTTCTAAGTCTATGATGGCAATGAGCATTTTTACATTTGTCTCTCACCCAGTAATTTGTAAATATCCCATTATGACAGTCTCTAGAGCAGAGATTTTGGAAAATAGCAATTGCTCCAATGGTGGCTCTCTTATTTCTCTGACATTGAACTCTTGCATTCATTCTGAGGACAGAACCTTACCTTCAGCAGTTCTGGAATGGACTATACCATGGATTGATGCAAATGGAACCATAGACATATGTTCATTACAGTAGGGAGATCATTATAATTAGACTATGAATGATATTAGCCAAGCTCTTGATGGAATTCCAGACTACTTTTAGTGCTTCTAAGGGCACTAGAAAATAGAAAATGGAAATTTCCTTTGGGATGTAAAATTTAAAACCTGATTTGAAATAAGGGATTTATTCCTCAGAGGTACATGTATGACTTTATGGAAAATTCTTATTCTATGGGCAACTGAATTGAATTCTTAAATATTTACACTCTGATATATTTGATATGTATACCCTGTGTCATATCACTGGGCTTTATCAGGAAACCTGACCTTTATGGGGTATGTCCCTATAAACTCCCGGCAAAAAGAGTTTTGTAGTAAAGATAAGATTATAGAACAGAGCAGTAAAGAAGAAACTGACATAAAGTAATCTGATTTAAGGACAAACTTATTTTATTCACATATGATATCTAGACTGCTTATTCCTAAAAGAAAAGTGATCTGCCTTTCACCTTCAACTCAAAAGATCCATCTTAACGAAGGTATTTTTTTTTTACTGTTTTTCTTACCTAAAACCTCTATTACTGTTACTTATGTCTTTTTTTGTATGTTTTTATTGTAAAAATGCTGTACAGAGGGGTTCTAGTTACATGAGCAAAGTAATGAGTACATTTCCTATTGAGCATTCTGTACTCACTTTTTTTTCTCTTTTTCCTTTTTTTTTTTTTTGTTGCTATAACATTCATCTTCATTTTTAAGTGTTAGGGGTAGTTTAAAAAGTGAATATAGGGGATGGGAAGGTAGCTCAGTGATAGAGTGCTTTCCTTGCATGCATGAAGCCCTGGATTTGATTCCTCAGCAGAAAAAGCCAGAAGTGGTGCTATGGCTCAAGTGTTGGAGCACTAGCCTTGAGCTGAAGAACTGAGGGACAGCGCTCAGGCCCAAAGTTCAGGTCTCAGGACCAACAACAACAACAAAAAAAGTGAATTCAAAGCACATATAACATATAATGTTAATTAGGTCTTTGTTTAAAACTTAGTTCTCTAATAGAAATAAGAGCAATATTTCATAATGTTTGCTGCACCCCCTGCTGGTAATATTACAGCATTTAACAAAGAAAGAGCTCTTTTAGGTTCTGCTTAGTGAATACAGTAAGTTTATACAGTTTCTTTTTGTATTTATTTTTGTTTAGAAGTACATTAAAAGTTAAATGATGTGTAATAATGTTAAAAGTTTAATTGGAGGCAATTTTCTTTGTAATTTGTAAATTGTTGTTTAAGTAGTGCTTATTCTCCCAGATAGTGCAACAATGTATTGGTTGGTGTTAAAATAGTTGCCATGATCTTTCTATTATTATTCCAGATGAAATTCAGTAGAGGCGTCACTCTAAGACTGCCTGTTTTATTGTAAATTGTTCCATTATGAGCATCCTTATACATAAATCATGTGCATGTTTATTGTATGCTAATTACAAAGCTTGCAATATGTATGACATTTTAAGAAAAACCTTGCAGATCTTAAAAGAATTTATCTCAGTTGACAGTGATTAAGTTCCAAGAGTTGTAGTACTAGAAGGGGGGAGATTATAATTGGCTGGCTAGTATTTCAAGCCAAGGCAATATGGTGACATGGTGTTTCTGACCCTTCTAAGGAGCTATATATTTGGAGAAAAGTAGTTATTGAAGGGAAATGTATACTGTTTTAGTTGGTGCCACATGGAATCGAAGTTTCTCAAGAACAAAGTTTAGCTATGCTACACTGAGTGAAAAGCACTTATTAAATGCAAGTTAGTCTAATTCATCAAAACACGTAGCAACATTATTTGAAAGCATTGGGTAAATTTAAAATGAGACACTGCCCTAATTTAAAGGTAAATTAATCTTCTTTAAGCGAAAATGCTTGTTCCTTTTATACATATGCCCCTCATTCACTGTCTTAATAAATATTTACTGAGACTATTCCATATCCCCATATTCTTTTATGGTGTCCTTTATCATTATTATATCAATTACTGTATTGTAATTGATGATTTATTCATGGCCTTTGGTTGGATGCATAAATGAGTGACTGAATGAGTGGCTGGATGGGCAGGAGAATATATCTTGGACGTATAGGACTAAGGGTAGGATCTTAATTAAAATCATCAGCCTTTAATGTGCTTTGGATTCTGCATAATTTTGTGTGTATATGTTGTTGGGTGTGACCTTTGACTGATTACATACACTTCTATAAACACAGACATTTTGACTATGGTTAACTGAGTTCATATTGTAATAAAGCCATATTAATTCATAGCAATCTAATATTATGACTAAGTAGAAAGTTTTTATCATAAGGGGTTTACAAAGAATTGTAGCTTACTAGTAATACTGACTATATGACACAGTCTTAAAGCTACTAATTCACATTTCCAAGTTTAAGTACTTTGGTTCCAAGTTAAGTACTTTGGCCCATATATAACCAAGAGCTATAATTGACTAGAAGCTAACCTTATGATGTTGTGTGATTAGTATCTGTGTGTACATGTGTAAATGATATTACAATGCTTTAAAACAAGCTATCATGGAAAATTTATTTTCATACACTACAAGAGGTAATTTTTATGATTAATTTCTTATCATTTTTGGAAGGCAAAAGTAATGATTTTTCACAAAATCAGAATTAATATAATTCTTAAGAATCGAGGCTCTGTGATTATACTATGGAGCTTAAGTTTGTCATGGATGATATTATTGGAAGATATATTTTACTGTAACAGAAAAATCTACTTGTATATTTTGCCTATAATTTTAGAAGTAAATTTGTAGAGTTTGCTCACAACTCTTGAAATAATTATGGAAATGATTTTGCCTTGTACCTTTGTTAAATGGGGAAACTTGACTTAGAAAAATTAACTGAATCTTTTGAAAAATCCTACTGCCTGAACCACATTTCTCTATCATAATCTAAAAGGGATCCCAATAGAAAAACCATTCAGAATTTTTCCCTACTGCTTCCATGTAAGCAATAGAGAATAAAATTATCTTATCAACTGGCCAGGAAGGGTGTTTTATGGAATTAATTAGCTCGTGATATCACTGAACTTATGTGTAACATTTTTATTTTTCTCTTTGTTTCAGAATGCAAAGTATGGCGAAATCCACTAAATTTATTTAGGGGTGCTGAATATAATCGGTAAGCATTTTGACAGATTGGGAAATAAATGAGTCTGGTTCAGAGAGCAAACATGGCAGCAAATGCTTTTGCCAGTTCATTTTAAGGTCATGTAACAAGTCTGCTGATTGCTTACATTTTTTTACATTTTCCTCAGCTATTTTATTTTCTTTTAATATTTTTGCATTGGACTTGGGATAATGTACAAAAGTATATAGTTCCAGACATTGATCAAAATGTATTGTACTCATAAACTGATATGTTGTTTTACATCTAATTCAGCCATTTAGAATGGGTCTTTACTAGTTATTTGAAGAGTTGAATAAAATAATTGATATGCAAACTTGAGGATGACATTTTTAACTTTTAAAGTAATATAATATGGTAGTTTCAGAGAGTTTTCCATCCAGAAACTTAGAAGTGCCAACTAAACTGAGCATCTTGAAGACAGCACTAATCACAGGCACATCTCTGCTTGATTCCCAGAGTGTATCTTAAGGGGCAGTAGCGAACCTTAATTTTTCTGACTTTCTGTATCTCTGGATTTAATTTTGCTCTTTTCTGAGTTTTTTTGTTCTGACTTGAACCTGGCCTCCTAGCTATTTTCTATTGGGATCCCTTTTAGATTATGATAGAGATTTATTTTCTTTTTGATGACAATAAAGAATCTGATATGGTGGTAAAAAATGTGTAGTTCTTAGAATTTATCTTAGAAGTTCACCTGCAGCATGGTCATAAAAATGCTTAAGAAAGTTATGATAGAATACAATTTATTGAAGTAGGCAAAGTAGAATTTTCATAGTTTTGGGAAAATGTCTTTTATATTGCTAAATAGGGAAAATTTTCATTAGCAAGCACTCATAGAAATTTTAAGGCAAAAACATAAGGGCAAATGTTTCTTTCCTGCCATGTAATTTCTAAAAAGAGTAAAGGATGGTTTTCAAAAAGTACTTTTTTTGTATTCATTAGCAAAGATACTGAATTTACATTTCATCTTCTCTGCAGCTTACTACTCGGTAGGTCTTTCTTTCTTATTTCTGTTTTATTTCCTCTTTTCAGGTATACATGGGTGACAGGACGAGAGCCTTTGACTTACTATGACATGAATCTCTCTGCCCAGGATCACCAAACATTCTTTACTTGTGACTCAGACCATCTACGTCCTGCAGATGCAAGTATGGAAAACCCTTCAGCTAGTTGCTGGGTGGGGGAGTTTTTCAGTTTATGAAGTATCAGGTTTTCTGCTTTCAGTATATTTATTCTGTAAAGCCCAAATGAATAAAATATTGAATTTCTGATTAACTAGTAGAACCTAGAATTCCGATTATTAACTCAAGCTTATCCCCAGGGGAGATATCAATATAAAAACAAAAGTTCCTTAGTATTTTGAACATGATTTTAAAAATATGTTAGAGTGATATACAGTGAGTACATATAAATCTTATATGAATCCAACTAAACTAACTGCTGAGATGGATGAAGGGTCCTATCTACTTTGATGATATTCTGATTAGAAGTTGGGATTCCCTAAACCCAAAGATTTAACAAGTATATTTTTATTTTATTCATTCATTTTTATTACTAAGTAGTTATACCAAGAGGTAACCATTCCTTAAGTTAGGTTATAAGTATAGTGATTCTTTATCAGTCAGCCCTCTCATCAAAATCCCCCATTCCTGCCAAGCATATTTTTAGTAACTTAGAGCCACATTTATATGTTTATAGGTATTGAAAGGGGACATGGCCTTGCTCCTGGAGTCCATAATGTGTTTTCCATCCTGGAGAGGACTTTTTTTTAAGCCTACATTTTATATTACTTAAATTCCAAATATTCCCAGTATTTTATTTTGTGTTATTAAACTTAGAACACATCTTTTTCTAAAAAGTTTTTTTCACTTAACAGTTTATCAAAATGACTGTAAGGGAGCTGAAATGTGTTGAATGAGGGAGCTAGTGGGAGGAAAGCAAATGAGTAGAAAAGGGAACCATGGATGCGTACAGTCATAGCACTTACTGTACTGTATGAGAAAGGAAGTGCAAAAGTTGATATGACTGGTAAAGGAAAGGATAGGTGGGAAGCTGAGAGAATGGTAAAGGGGATGGCTCTGAAACTTGTTCAACCACTTTGGAAAGCAGTATGGAGGCTCCTCAAAAGACTCTACCTATAGCTCCCTTATGACCCAGCAATCCCACTTTTGGGCATTTACCCAAAAGATCACATACAAGGCCATACTAAGACTACCAGCACAACTATGTCTATCACAGCATTATTCACCATAGCTAAGATATGGAACCAACCCAGATTACCCCTCAGTAGATGAATGGATCAAGAAAATGGAATTCTGTATCTCCATCAGAAAGAATGCCATTGCTCCATTTGTTAGGAAATAGAAAGACTTGGAAAAAATTATATTAAGTGAAGTAAGCCAGGCCCAAAGAAACATAGGTCCCATTGTTTCCCTTATTTGCAATAACTAGTACATGTGTGGGATAGGCAGAAATGGCCAAACGCTATGTACATATGACCAGATAAGATGATGGTAAGCAAATGAACCCCAAGATAGGTACACAAATACCTTTTTTCTTTCTTTCTATTGTTTCTAATGTATTTATAATGTACCATGTGAATTTTTTGTTGCTTTGTATGTTCCTCCCCAATGGTATAACCCGTGTTTTCACTGTATTTGATGTTGGTGCCCTGCATCTTGTATGTACACTTCTGTAATTTGGGGAGGGGAAGGTAAAAAAACAAAATGCTTAAATAGGGATACAGGTTGACCCATTGTAACAATGAGATGTACAAACACTATGTTGAAAACTAACTTTACAACTTTGGCAGGGTAGGGGTAGTTGTGTATGTGTGAGGGAGGAGATGGTAGAGGGAAAACAAAGGAGGAGGCAACAATACTCAATAGCAAATGTACTCATTACCTTGCTCATGTAACTGTAACCCTTCTGTATAACATTTTTACAATAAAAAATGTACAAAAAGATGCACTGTACATATAAACAACCATCTCAAGATAATAGATAAATCACTTAAAAGTAAATTAAAAAAATAAAAGGGAGTTTCTATGTGCTTTTATTTTTTATTTTTGGGTCCGGTCGTGGGGCCTGAACTCTGGGCCTGGGTGCTATCAGCTCTTCAGCTCAAGGCTACCACTCTACCACTTGAGCCACAGTGCCACTTCCGGCTTTTTTTTTTTCTTTTTGCTTATGTGGTGCTGGGGCATCGAACCCAGGGCCTCATGTATGCAAGGCAAGTGCTCGACCACTGAGCCACCTTCCCATCCCCTCTAAGTGCTTTTAAACTGATCTATAAAATATAAATTTTAAAATAAAAGAAGGGCATTACTTTGTTTCCCCAAGAAATTAAGTTTTGATAAATCTTATAAAGCATGGGATTTCTCATAAATAAATTCATGAACTGCTCTGATATATAAAGCTAGGTTTGAGAAAAAGTGTGCCTGTTAGGTAAATCTTAAAGCTTTGTTTACTGAACCAAGTAATAATTCTTCAAAGTTTCAAAATATTTTAATATTCACAGGCTGTAGCAAATACTTGAGGGAAATTACAGTTAGAGATTCTATGTCTAAATACACTGAGGAAATTAGAAGCAATATCAGTTCAAAATATGTAAAAATAATGTATATTCTCTAACAACAGAGGATAGTAAGGCCTAAAAGAAATAAAATATGTTGAAATTTTTTATTTCTTTAAAAGATTTAGTCTAATTTTATGTGTGCACAAAATGTTTCATGCCAGCAGCTGAACAACAGTAAAATCAAAAATTAGAAATGTTTGTGTGGATCTGGTCTTGGTGGCATATGCTTGAAATCCCAGCTGCTTGGGAAGCAGAGGGAGGAAGATTATAGTTGCTAGCCTGGCAAAGTTGGGTTGAGACCCTGTCTGAAAAATACAGTAAAAGCAAAATGATATGGGGCATTGAATTTTGTCATAGAGCACTTGAATTTCATCTCTAGCATTAAAAAAATGATTTTATAGATCAGAATAATCTTGTTGGTAATGAAATCTTCACTTTATAATTCAAGCTGAAAGCTATTAATTTATTGTCAGATATCCATTCTTCATAATCATATGTACTAATTGACTTGCGTTTTTTTTTCTAAAATAGTAATGCAGAAAGCCTGGAGAGAGAGAAATCCCCAAGCTAGAATTTCTGCTGCTCATGAAGCCTTGGAGATAAATGAGTAAGTAGGGAAAATCTTGCTGTTAAAACGAAATCTCAACTTTTGAATATATTCAACTACCATTGATGGCACACTTAAATTAAGCCATATATTTGAACTAAAGAATTATAAGATAGGTTTTAATTTATGAGATTTTCTTTGTTGAAGAATAGCCACATGGAAGGAGTTTTATTAGTCATTTTAGATAGCAGTTCAGAGGCTTTGCTATGACTCAAGTCCTTCAATGTTATCCCTAGGATACTATGAAGAAATAAAATGCAATTCTATGCATATTTAAAATTATTTGACTGGGAAGTTTTTCCATATATACTGTGCTCATCATATTTTCGAATTAGAATTTCTTCTAATTGAGAAACATAAAGACGTATGTTGGAAAAAATAGATAAAAGGAAATATTGCCCTTAGAGTTGTTAAACATTCTATGGGTTTCCAAAGAAGGCTGGGAAATCTCTTCTGGAGATCTCAGAAAATGGGAAAGATTCTTAAAGTTGGAGTCATAAAAACTTAGGATTGGCAGAGACCTTAAAGGTCATTTAGCTCAACCACCCATCTGGTGCTTGAATCACCTCAACAGCATCCATGCCAAGTGGTCATTGTTAAACTATTTTATGATTTTTCTGAAGAAGGTTACAGAATCTTCTCCAGACTCTTAGGAAAAAAAGGGAAGAGATTCATTGAGAGTTAGAAATCTTGCCACTATAACCAGTTGATCTATATGGTTTCTGATTCTGTCACACACAACATAATTTACTTCACTTTCTCATCATCTACAAATTGGATATGCCTGTCTTCTGTGTGTCATCTATGTTTTCAAGAAAGTTTCAGGGCCAGGAATAGAACCCTGTGACAAGATATATAGAAACTACTTTAAAGGTTTGTGTCTTCATGAATCACCGTTCTTTACTATTCAACCTATTACTAAACCACCCAATTATACTATAATCCAGCTCATGTTTCTCCATTTTGATCTTAGAAATGCCAGTTGTATCTGTATGTCTTTAATTTGTAGTGTATCTATTAAAGAATATTAAGCTACCACCACATTATTTATTTATTCTTAGCAAATTTAAGCTACTTTCTTTTTAATGTGCTTGGAGACCATCTCTTTAATAATCCATTAGAATATCTTTCCATATCATTGTTCTGTAGTTTGAGAAGTCAGCCTTCTTTCCCTTTTTGAAAAATTTATACCACATTTATCATCTCATCTTCTAGTATCTCTCCATTCTTTGTGATTCCTCAACTCTCCATAGAGTGCAGTTTCGTGGCCTGTCTGCAGGGTCTGTTGGCTTTCTGGGATTTGCCCATCCTAGTAGAGTAATTCATTTAGAATGAATCAGTGATTTGCTATCTTATATCTTTATAACCAAGTTAGAGTTTAGTTTCTGTTCTTTTTTTAGCATGACAATCATTCTCCCAGATAAAGAAGCCAGAAACAAAACAGGAGTGAGAAATTTCCTTTTTCTTTATTATCTACTGCTATCAACCATAAACCTTCTTTGTTTTGCTCTTGTGTTGTCTTTTTTTGCTTATGTGTTTTAATGGTAACTTTGGAGAATTGGAGATGATAGGGCCTTAAATGTAATTTAGAAATACAAAATAGTTGTCTTCAGTGGTTTTCATTTGTTTGTTGCTGGTTTTTGTTTGTTTAATTAGGTAAGATTTAGCTCATTTGACATTTTAGCTCCCCTGATACTATTCTTATAAGTTCACTCCACTCTCTTATGGTCTGTCATTAAACACTCCCTTTCCATCTTTTTTTTTTTCACATGTCCTTAAAAATTTGACCTGGGAGAAATCTTTGTGAAGCCATATTGATTACTGAAGTACCACCCTTCTTTTCTTCCTTTGTGATTGCAGTTACAGTTGAACCTTTGGAAACAGCTCAGTCCTCTTACACCATTTTTCCTTCTGAGTCTCATGCCATTGAATCATACTTCTTTTCTTTGAATTTTTTGAAGTCCACCCTCTTTGATTACTCCAAAATGACATAGCAACTCTCTCTGAATGTTCCTATCAATTTTCATTTCACCAACTATTTTTTTCTTCTTGGTCAGAATTAGGTCCAGAGTTGAAGTTCCCCTAATTGCTTCCTCTACCATCTGGGAGATAAAATTGTTACCAAAGTAAGTCAAGAACCTGTGGGATGCTCTACTTCTAACCAAATGAAACTTCTAGCAGCTATCTGGAGGGTTGATACCATCACCACACTTTCTTGCTTCTGTATGTGTATTGTGTTGTGACAAGGATGCCTCATCTCTCTTCCATCCAGCTGAGCAGTCTGTTCTGTAATCCCCAACCATTAGTACTTCTGTTGCTCTCTCCTTTTCCTTCACTCACAGCTCTTAGCATGTTTCTACCCCAAACTCATGGGTTTTCACATAGATACATGTTTCTTAGCCAGTAGTGCTACTCTGCCTCTCCACCAAAGAATCCTTTTTAAAATATAAATGAGTAAAGCAAACAAACCATTCTTGAATTCCCAACCCACCAACCACTAATCTTATGTTAATTCCTCTGACACTGTATCCACCACTTGATATGATAACCTCAATTTTTACTTCATTACCCTTGACCCTTATTAGTATGTTGGCATCTGAAGCCCTAAATATTTTCTTTGATGCCTCCCACAGTTTTCTCCAGTGGGCTGGTCACTGGACAATCTCAGCATCATTATCGTTCTTTCCAAGTTATATAAACTGACCTCCAGTATAATAAATTTTCCAGCCTTTTTTTCTGGGCATTTATCTCCCTACCTCACCATATTCAGTTAAAGATCCTATTAGTGGTTCTGCCTGAAATTAGAGAGATTACTTAAAGAATTTATAAGACCCTTCTCAAGGTTAATTAATGACCCCCAAAACCTCATGTTGGCTGTAAAGTTCAAATTCTTATGCTAGCTGGCTTTGAAGTTTCTAAGTAGTAAACATAACATTTGATCATCCTTTCTGGTTATTTTTTTCTCTTGTGGTCTGATGGTGATAAATAGGGAATGGGCCACAGAGAGGCAGTGGAGAAGAAAGGGAAAGGATGGGGATAAAGCAGGACCTGTGATGCCTGCCATGGGCTCACTATTTTCCTAGTGCATTCCCTTTCTTTGCCAGTAGGTTGTTCCTTATATAATTTGAAAGGCTGACATTTCCCCTTGTTCATTAGTTAACTGCAGATCCTTTCTGGATTTCTACCTTAGCGGGTTGTTGAAAGGATTATATAATGTGATATATTTTAAGTGCCTGGTACAGTGCTTAATTTATACAAAGCAACAAATGGCAGTTTGTAATGGGATGAGATCTAATTCTCCTTAGCTACCCTGACTGAGTGAGATTTTGAGCTGTTCAGAAACATGGTAGCTGCTTCTAATATTCCTGAAGCAGAAGATCACTACTGTTATGAGTTGTTGAAGCACTGCTTTTTAATAATTTTAGGTTGTGTTTAGTAAACTTACATATGATGCCTCTAACTTTCTGTCAGAAGGAGATATTGAATAATAACTACAATTGCCACCATTATTAGCTGACATTTAGTGAGCATGCACCAAGTGCTGATTTCTGTAGAGTGCTTCACATGCATCACCTTACTTTAACCTTTACAACATTATGAACGAACAGATTTCATGTAGTTGTTCATCAGGGAGGCAGAGTAATAACTTGCCCCAAGTGACACACTAATAAGGGTGGCGTCCATATATGAGTCCCATGGTCCTAAAGCTAAGCGTCTTACCTCTCAAGATGTTTCTTTTGTACCATTACTTTGTGTCAACAGCTACAAACCGGTGCATGAACCAGTTGGCCACTGTGCATGTTTCGGCATAACTCCTTGCCCTTCTGCATGAACTCCTGCAATCTATTGACATGACCTTGGGTTTACAATTGATGGTGGTTATTATCTGAATGGACAGGTGTGCAACTGCTTATATTCTCTTGGCTGAAGAGGAAGCAACAACCATTGCTGAAGCTGAAAAGCTGTTTAAGCAGGCCCTGAAGGCTGGAGATGGCTGTTACCGGCGTTCTCAGCAGCTACAACATCATGGATCCCAGTATGAAGCTCAACATAGTAAGGTTTTCTCTAGGTTAACGTGTTGGGAAATGAGAAGCATAAGAGGATAAATCAGTGCAAATTTTGAGACTGATAGAAAATTTGATTCACCTAAGAGAAGAACAAATAAGGGCTTTGCTTTCTTGTTTGTTTTTAGTTACCATTTTTCCTTCCTAGATGAGGACTTGGTAAACAATTATTTCAATACTGCCTATGTTCTATTCCCTTTCCTACTGCTAGTATCCTATTGCCATGAATAAATAGCTATCAACTTTAATAGAATCTTTGTTTTCACCCCAGAATCCTTAGGAATTTCTGATCATCAGTTGCTTCTTTGTCACACAACTTTATGTCCCAGTTTATTAACGGAACTTGTTAGTGCATCTGCTATCAAAGTTTTTATGGATTGAACATGTATTGAAGTAGGACAATTTAGAAAATAGCAGTTATTGGTAATTGTATGAGTATACAGCTCTTATTTAAGAGAAAGAATCATGAGTTCCTAATGATGTCTTTTATGTTGCAAATACCCCTTTTATTTAAGACCACTCTTTAAAATCTGAAATTTTTTAAAAATATAGGACACTGACCTGATGGCCAGTGATATTTGGAGGAACAATAGAAATAAGGGAGAATGATTTCTGGAATTCACCGAACCCCTTGATGCATCTTCAGTATTTAAACAGAAACTCAGTGATCCTTGAGAGAGAAAAGTGTTTCTGTGGTTGAAACGAAGTTGGGGTTGTTTCGTTATGGTGGAATTTCTGTCACTTCATTCCTTCCTTCTTCAATTTGGCATTTGAATACACTTCTCCTTGTACTTGAGATTATACAATTAAATTTTAATATTAAACTTGGATTGAGTATAGGATCTGACTGCATTCGTTTCTACAACTAAGGTGCCAGCAAAATCTTGCCTTATATTTTATATGTACAGGAGTGTCTCTGCACAAGTCATTAATACTTAGGTTTCTATTTTATTCTGAAGGTAGCATATATGTTAACAAGGTCCCTAATAACCATCCTTGTCTTACTTATTTTTCTTATCTCACTTTTTAAAAAGCATAACAGTTCATTTTGAAGAGCTATAGTGAATGTCTATTTTGTGAACTAACTGGAAATTAATATGTACAATTACATAACCTGTATTACAACTTCAGAGTTTTTCTTTTTTCTTCTCTAAATTAAATCCTTTCAACCTGTTGCCTAAATTTATCCAAGAAAATATAATCACATCTTTAAAATAATTTGTAGGTACTTGGCAGTTTTTCAGCACACATCTTGTTCTCATTGTTTGAAACTTGAAATGTGCAGGCTTTGGTCTTAACATCTTTTAATAGCTGAGTATTATACATATACTTAATCTATAACAGGTGTGTCATATTTTCTCAAACATGGTAATTTTATTGAGGATTAAACATATGCATGTTCTCACTGGTCTGGAAATGTATCCAAAAAGATATAATTAAATAAAAGATTAAGATAAGAAGTTGTTAATGTACTTTTGAGGGCCATTTTTGTGAGTATTGCTATAAGTATTTAGCTTGTCAGTGCTTTCTCTAACACTAGGGTAGTTTTTCATTTTGTTGCATACTCTATTGTCATATCTGGAATGTGTTATATTGCCATCTAAAATCAACTGCTTTGGGGACCTGGAGATGATTATGATGTCACTAGTACTAGAGAAGGAATAATATGAAACAGAAGTTCAAGATGAGGCTTCTCCAGACTTGATGTCAAGAATGAAAAAAAAATAGTTGATCAGGATGCAACCTGAGATTCACCTCTTTGCATTCTCACCAAAAGCATGCACACTTGAAGAACATGGATTTCTTGTTGTAAACTGGAGGTTATGTGAGTAAGTTCATTTTCCCCACACTGTGGGGCAGATTTTATTTATTATCAAATATTCAACATCCTAACTCAAGAGCATTGATTGAGTAATCAGTCATGATTTGACTTTTGGAAGTCTAAGTACTTCTACTCTACTCTGTATTCACTGTGCTATTAACAAAGTTAGTTGTCAACGTTCCTAGTGGTAGGAAAGGCCAAATAGGCAGTCTGTTCTCTTTTAGGTTTTTTTATTAAGAGCAAGACAAGTGAGCTTCTGAATTTTTCCTTGTTACTCAGTTGAGAAGTCTTGTTTTTTTTTTAAATTTGTTTTTCTTTTTAAATTTTGGTGTTATATCTTCTCCTTCAGGACGAGATACCAATGTCTTGGTCTACATCAAAAGAAGGCTAGCAATGTGTGCCAGAAGACTCGGGAGGACCAGGGAAGCAGTGAAAATGATGAGAGATGTGAGTTTGGATTTGTGTTGGGGATCAGTGTCAATTCACTTGGCTTAGAGTGATAGGAATGTACTAAGTGGATTAAATGGACTGAGCCAGCGATGGCCTGGTAGGCCTCAGAGCCAGCTCTCAGCTTAAGAGATGAGTAATCTTGGACAATTTATTTAACTTCTGTTTCCTAGTTTTCTGTAAAATGATATAACAATAACAATTCTCACAATAACTTCTCAGGGTTGTTGTAAGAATTAAATGAGATAATACGTGAATAATGCTTTTTAATAGTCTGACTGGCACATTAAAATATATATACATATCTCAGTAGACACTAGGCATGGTGATATTCACCTGCATTATCAGCTACTTGGGAAGCAGAGGTAGGAGGATTGTGATTTGAGACCAGCCTAGGCAAAATTAATAAGACTTTATCTCAAAAATAACCCAGGTGTGATGGTGCACACCTGTTACCTCAGCTACTCAGGAGGCAAAGACCAGGAGATCATGTTCCATGACTGGCCTTGGGGAAATTGCCAGAGCTTGTGTGTAAAACAAACTACATGCAGAAGGATTGGGGCATGGGCATGGCTCAAGTGGTAGGGGATTTGCCTTGAAAACACAAGGCCCTGAGTTCAATCCCCTATTACTACTACTACTACTATTACTATTACTACTACTATACACACACACACACACACACACACACACACACACACACGCATAACTGTACACAGTTGTTAGTAAATTTGAATAAATTGTTGGGCAAATTGCTACCCTCAAATTTAGTAATATTATGAGCTAATCCTATTATAATCAATCAGGTATTTTTCTAGATTCTTTTTTATTTTAAATATGTATTTTTTATTGTAAAGATACTGTACAGAGGGGTTAAAGTTACATGAGCAAGGTAATGAGTCCAGTTTCTATGGAGCATTTGTTTTTCCCCTACCATCCCATTCCTCCCCACCTCCCGAGAATCAGGGTAATTGATCAGTGGTAGTCAACATTAGAATTAAGAAAATAGGAAGCAGGAAAGAGTGTTAAAACTAAACTAAAACTCAAGGAAGTTATTACTGTGTTATTTTAAAACAAAGTTGTAGCTTTATCAGACAACAGTGAACTTCTACTGTTTTTGCTCCTGTTAGAGTTAGTAAGAAATACTTTTCATTAACTGGTACTAGTGATACTAGTGGTACTAGTGATACTAAAACAAGGAAGATGGAATGTGCTCTCCCACAAACACATTCTTTTGGCTAAAGAAAAAAATGTAAAGAATGTTACATCACATAAGAGCTAATTTTAAGAATAAATTTCTGCAAAGACAAGAGCTTGCTCTCAATGATTGTCAACTTGCAGAAATTCTATCCCTTGATATAGCAAAGAAACTCTTGTCCATCACTTCTTAATTAACCTGCATCTTATTTAATTTGTGCTTACAAAACTTCATAGGAATAACATTTATTTTGTGGCAATTCTGGGGTTTGAACTCAGGACCTTGTACTTGTGAGCTATACCTCCAGCCGTATTGTTCTTTACTGGTTATTTTTGAGATAGGGTCTTATTGTGGGGTTTTCAGGCCAGGCTGGCCTGGAACTCAGATCCTCCTAATCTCAGCCTCAGTCTTGGGATGACAAGTGAACTGTAACTTACTGCCCTGAAAAGGTATCTCATGAACTTTTCTGCCCAGATTGGCCTCAAATCACAATCATCCCAATCTCAGCTCCCAAATAACTAAGATTACAGGTATGAACTAAAAACACCTGGCTACGTTCTAATTATTTAGCTTCTTTGTCACTTTCTGATGATCATTTCATATATATATATATATATATATATATATATATATATATATACACACACACATGTATATATGTATGTGATTTTAATCATATGCAATTTTACATGTATATATATATGCAGTTCTGTATGTGTGTGTATATATATATACATGTAAAATTACATATGATTGAAATCAATATATATATATATATATATCTACCATGCATGTGCTATGACTTGGTTTTCATTTAACATTGCTTTATATTTCTTTTCCACTTATTGACCTCATTCAAATATAGATTTTGAGAGAACATCTGAGATTCTGTGGAAGACAGACACACTGGGCAAGGAGTCAAAAAGCCTAAATGTGAATCTCAGCTTTGCTCTGTGCCAGCTTTGCAATCCACAGCAAACTTACTTAACTTATGGACATTTCATTTAGTCTTCCATAAATCAGGGGTAATTATTCTTACTTAAAAGGGAAATTGATGGAGAGAATTGAGATCATGTGAAAACACTTGGTATATAATACACATCTTACAATTCTTTCCCTGTTTTTTTCTGATGTAAGTTATTTTAAAATGTAAATATGCATTTATTTTTAATTGATACATAATTGTACATACAATGTACAGTGTGGCATTCTGGTATATGTGCCCAATTTATAATGATCTTATCAGGATTATCTCATTAGGGCAATTGGTGTATCCACCACCTAAAGCTGATTTCTTTTTATTGAATGAATAAATCAGCCAGTCATGTACTCTCTTTCTGAATTTCTCTGTGTACATATGAATATACACATACATATTTTAGGCATGCTTGTACCTATGTATACGTATTTCTCTGCGTATTTTTTTAAATATTCCTGGGGCTTGAACTGAGGGCTTTGCACGTGGTAGGCATTCTACCAGTTGAGCCATGCCTTCAGTTCTTTTTGCCTTCATTGTTTTTCTAATTGGTTTTTGATTTTTGTCTAAACAGTCCTGGTACATGATTCTCTTATGTATGTTTTCCCTATAGTTGGGATGATGATTGCACACCACCATATTGCTTGAGATGAGTTTGCTTTTTGCTTGGAATAGTCTCGAACCTCAGTTTTCCCAATCTTAACCTCCTCAGTAGCTAGGATTACATATATGAGCCTCTAGTCCTGGTAAATGGTGTTTTTTTAAAATAATAATTCCTCTAATGGCACCTGTCATATATATATCAAATACCAATATGTTACTTTTTCTGTGGTTTTATGGAACATCCAGTAGATTTGAGTCCTACTATTATGAGTCTTTTAAAGAACACCCCCAAACACAGTGGTGAGGTGAATACATTAAAAATGCCCTGTCTTTAGGAAACTCCAGCTGTCCTCATATCCCAAACCAAGGAGCAAGGGTTGACCTTTTCTTCTGTCAAAACTGCAACTGAGTCCAGACTTGCAGGAGCTGGTTGTAGTGAGAACTGACTTGTTTGGCTCCCTTTGGGTCACACAAGTCAGACTTCACTGAGGGTTTACTCCTTTGACAATATGCACATAAACCATCTTGCTGTTAGACTTCCTGTGATAAAGTAGCAGAGGATTTCAGACAGTTTGCTGATAGAGCATTAGGCAGGAGGATCTAATTTTTCATTAAGACACAGCCATCCTCTTCCCATATTCATGGGATTAAACTTTTCTAAGCAGATTTTCAAGTGGAAATAGAAATGGTAGTCAGGATGCTTTCCATGTAGAGAGCACTGTTTGGGAATTCCTTAAGGAAGGGTAAACTGTTAATTGGTGAATGAAAGAGAATTCGGGGAAGGGGATAAAAGGCAATACAGGAATTCTGGCTACAGATAATTTTGTGTAATTCCACAGCACCAGATTATACTTGACTCAAATACAATATTGATTCCCTCAGTGAAATATTGATGAAATGAACTTAACCTTGATTCAGCATCAAGATCCACTTTAAAATGTACACATGGCTGGGAATGTTGCTTAGTGGTAGAGTACTTGCCTAGCATGCATGAAGTCCTGGGTTCTATTTCTCAGTACTACAGAAAAAAGCTGAAAGTGGTGCTGTGGCTCAAGTGGTGGAGTGCTATCCTTGAACCAAAGAAGCTCAGGGACAGCACTGAGACTCTGAGTTTAAGCCCCAGACCTAGCCAAAAAATAATGTATACACGAAAGTTGTGACATTTACCCATATTTTTCATATAATTTTGGATTGTTTGTTCTTCTTTTATACAATTCCACTGAGTGCATACTAAATTGACTTACTTATTAAGAACCCTTTTAAAATTGCTGAGTACCTTAAAATTTTATATATAGGTTTATTTATTTATACTTATAATTTTAGAAATTAAGACAGGCATTTAAAATATTCACTTCAAAATAATAATTATAAATATAGTACATATTACCACAACCGATCTTTTATGAAAAATTACTATATTCAAATGAATAATGAAAGGTAATGACATTCTTTTTATGTTCTTGCAAATCTCTTTAAGTGTCTGGCTCAATAGGATACAACTAGTGTCTCCTGAGTTTGCATTTAGTCTGCTGTGTTATCATATATGACCTCTAGGAGTATCTCTATACCTTCATGACAGAGCAAGAATGCAAAAGAATAAAAACGTCCTCTGATCATAGTTTTGATCTGAGGCCCAAGAAAAGGTATCAGGACCCCCCCAGCGGTTCCCTATTCTATCCTTGAGAACTACTTGAACAAGCATTAAACAAATGGGTAGGAGTAAGATTATATCTGTCTTTATTTTTAAAGATTTTTTTTTTGTATTTCCAAACAATATTGTAATTTTAGCTTAAAGTGAGACAAATGAATATTTATTACCTAGAGATGTGAGAACAAAGAACCTTAAACTGAGAGGTTTAAATGATATTAAAACTTTTTTTCACAATAAATTAAGTCTAGAAGTCCAAGATCATGGCATGGTAGCACTGTACTCCCTCTGCAGTATAGCAAGGAATCCTTCCTTGCTCCTAACTTTTGATAGTTACTGGCAATTTTTACCCTTCTTCACTTTAGACACATTAGTTCAATCTGTGCCTGTATTCAGGTGGACATTCTCCCTGTGTATTTGTATCTGTGTGTTCAACTTTCCTTCTTCTCTTTTGGACAAAATTATAATGGGCTTATGACCTCATCCTAACTTAAATCTCCAAAACTCAATTTCCAAATAAGGTCACATTGATAGCCACTGTGAGAATTCTCATCAATCAGGCCTTCTGGAGGACC